GACGTAACAACTTGCGCATGGGGGAACCGCTGGATGAAGATAGCCGCTCCGATATGCGATCGGCTGATAAAGGGAAATCTGGTGATAAGAGTGACGAGAAGAAAGCATGGGTCACAACCACTTTCGGAAGCTCACTCAAGCTGATCACAGAGAAGCTGCATGAGGTAGACCAGAATGTGAAGCTCCCTTCCGAAGATAAAGCCGAACTTGCGAGACTGCGGGAGGAGAAAGCAGCCTTGGACAAAGCGGCCGTGGAGAAAGCAGTAGCGGAGAACGAGAGTAAGGAACTCTCCAGCAGTGAGAAGCGTAAGCGAGAAGGCGAACGGACACCGATCGGCATTTCGCCACGGATAAATCGGGTGAGATCGCGCGGGAGCAAGACGAAACCAAGACTAAGCGGATTGATGTCTCGTCTAACGAAGAAGACAGAAGGGTCGGAGCCGTCAAGAAGAATCTCCTGCCAAAGATGGATACCAGCAGCGAATTGTCTGATATAAAGGCAATGTTGGCGGCACTATTCCAAAGTTTCACCGATGTCAAGGGCAAGGCCCTTGTCATTGAGCATGCGCCGGTGACGGTACAAGAAGACGAGGTGCAGGGAGAAAAAGAAGACGTCGATATTGTCCATAATGCTACAAACAAGGAGGAGGAAGAGGAATGCGATGAGGGTGGCCTAGCGGCATATATCAAGATGCGGCAAGAGTTCTATAGCTCACTACATTACATCCGAGTCCAGGAGTTGTGTAAGCAGAAGAGCATCCCATACTTTAAGAAAGACTTGGGTGCGTAGGAACAAGCCAAGCTCGATCTGCAGGAATATGAAGACATGCTAAAGGACGACAAGGCCGTTAAGGTGGCCGAATCATCAAGGAACACCGAAGGGTGGAAGACAGAAATCGCTGAGAAGCCGTCATCGTCTGAGAATCCAATCAAGGGAAACTGATCGGTGGTAGCATCCGATCCAAGCGTCACGCTGTGAATCACATTCTGAAACTTAAACAACATGTCAACAACTCACTATGGCTAATGCTAGAAAAGTTGCATGTGCTCATTATTCTTTTTGCGTGTCTAGTTGGAAAAATCGAGTGGGGACAAGTTTATCTTCGGTTTTGGTTAAGAATGCCACCCGAGAAGTGGGATATGTTGCTTGAGGGCAAAAACTATGTGTATATCCTTATGTCTGTGTCGCATAAAGCAGTCTATGTTGGAAAAACGACTCGCTTGTTGCGAGAGCGATGGGCGGAACACTGCAGGGCAGCCAAAGGCATTAGCAGGCAGAAAGTGCATGTTTGGATAAGCAAGGTCGGCATTGGACACTATGTCCCGATACCATTACGGTTCGGGGACGCAGCCACAATTGACGGCGTTGAACGAGTGATTATCAAAGATTGTAACCCAGGGCTAAATGCGAGAGGGGGCGAAAGTCGGAAGTAGTGCAGGGCGAGGGGTAGGAAGGGTAAGAACATCGGAAAGCGGGAATGTTGTAAGCCTGGTCAACTTGTTGAACCATTGTTTTTTAATTGCTCAGAAGTCGGGGCAGTGAATGACCCAGACCTATTGAAGATCTTGAAAGCAGCAGGGAAGAGTCGAGGGATGAGGCGAGTTGTGATCTCCAATAAGCCTGGAGGAAGATGGTTGAAATCTTGGCGTCTGGTTGCCTTGTTGTTTGGGTTCGCTAAGGTTGAGTGCCAAGGTAACAAACAATTACTTAAAGATGCCAAGTCCGAAATTGAAAAAGATGGTGAAATGATTGTTTACAGTTTGGTCCGAACGATCACCAAGACCGACTTGCTGAAACATGACTTAATTGCTCTCCTTCGTGCCCCCTGGAAGCGTCGCGACATGTAGAAGAGGCAATTAAATGATCTGATCGAATTAAATAATGTTGTTAAGATAGTAAACCAGCCTAGGGGACGGCAGACTATCAAAGGAATTCTTACCATAATTTTTAAGAATAAATTTGGAATGAACCCTCGCTAAAAAATAACTGTTAAATTTTCGTTTTGTACGACTATTGATAAAAGGAAGGTGGAGATGGAAGTTAAGAAGTGGATTCAGAATACTGTCTAACCACCCGAGCTAGGAGACTTGTTTGTTAGGAGAACGAGGGCAGTCAAACTTAGTGAGGAGGAAGGCATACATCCGTTTCTCTTCAGCTCCAAAAATGTACCCTTTCCCGGCTTCATAGCCTCCAGAGAAGGTCTTAATCGGGCCTATAATGATGCTCTTGAGTGTCTCCGTGACATGTGCGTGGTTTCCAAGTAAATGCATTGTGACGTCTTTTGAGTTTCTAAATTCGGCGAGCGTATGACAGAGGGTTGTGTTCTGACGGAGTACGTAAAAGAGGTGAAGCAAGCCTTCTCTGGACTTGTGCTCTCCCCTCTCGACCGGAATATCAGCGAAACATGGATTGAATGCCCAGTCCTCTATCAAGTTGGACTAAGGATGATGTTTTTGAAAAACTGCAACTATGATTTAGTATCAAGTGACAAGTACCAAGGACGAAGTTATGTCCAACATGAGAGCAAAATATGATAAGGCTAGCCTCAACGATATAGGGAAATGAGACCAGAATGGCGATTTACAGCATGCATACATCCTCTCGAAAGAAAAGGATAGATGTAAGAAACGACTCATTGTTCCCTCGTATCAGAGTCCATATAAGGCCGTTTCCGATGTTCTGTCAATTGCCCTGAACGCATTGATGCAGCAAACTAGCGAGCCGCACTTTAACTTGCGAGCGATGGGAGATTTGAAAAAGGAAGTATCAAGGATCAATGAGATGGAAGAAGTCAGGGAAGGGAGGTACGGGATCCAAGGCCGCACCTATGATATAAAGGAGATGTTTACTCAACTTTCGCATGAGGAAATCAGGAAAGCAGTATCTTGGATCATCGGATGTTTTGCTGCAAGGTAAGTGAAATGGATCTGGGTGAATACCCGAACGAAGGATGCTCATGTTCGTAAGTCACAAGGAGAAGCTGGGTGGAAGTTTGTGCGCCTAGCAAATACGTTTTTTCTGGTTTCCGACACAGTACTCCCGCAAAGGAAGGGCATCCCCATGGGTGGTCGAGCGAGCCCTCCGCTCGCTTGCGTGTTATGTATGTACACAGAAAACCAGTTTATCAAGAGCCTTGGCTCAGAGAGAGTGCTGGTTATGGGAAAATGCTACATCGATGATTTGCTGATCGTCTCACTATTCCGGAAGGGTGACCCGGAAGGAAAGGACGAAGGCCAAAAGAGACTGGACCAGGTAATAGGTTGTTACCCCGAGGGGTTGGTTTTGAAACGCATTGATCTTGGGATCGACATCTTGGATTTCTTGGAAACCAGGACCATCGTCTGTGAAGAACGGACGATTCTGACGACACATAAGTTCAAAAATGCGGACTCGATATGGAGCGCCGAACTACAACGTTTTCAGACCCATAAGGATTTTTCATCATATGGACCCAGAACATCGAATTTTGCCACTATTGCAAATACTATACAACAGATTGCGTAAAACTCCAACAGCAAAGGTTTGACGTGCTGTAATGTCCTCAAGGAAATGCAATTATCCAGGGAAGGTAGTTGTGGCCGTACTTCAATGGATGCAGCGCCATGAAAAAACACCCTTCTGGGAAGGGTTATTAAGGGTAGTAAGGTATGTAGTGACAGTGAAATAAGGCTGCTAGAAGATGCGGACGCACCAACCGTATATTGGGCAGTAAGAATCTGATTCACTGGATGGTGCCATGCAGAGATTCCTGGCCCGGTGGGACATGCCGCCGTAACTATTGTTTGTCTTTTGCGTCTAAGTACGACCGCGTTACCACTTCGATGCTATATTTGTCTTTTGCGTCTAAGTACGACCTCGTTACCGCTTCGATGCTAGGACCAGTAGTCCCAAGGGACTTGAGAAAAAATATGGTCAGAGTGAAGCACGGTGAAGGCTCTATCTTACGCTTCTCGTACGAGAGTTTTCCTTCCATTTTTTCTTTTTCCTTTTAAATTTTACTATTTACAAATGGGGGAGTGGGGTAGAAAATATTATATAAGCAAGGCAAAGTAGAGTACGAACTTACCTCAGTCTGAGTGTCGAATGAGTAGAAGGATTGAGAACCTCGACGGTGTGAAGTTGGGGTGATGTTGGGGGGATGGTGATTTCGCTATGATATTAAAACTCATGTCACGTTCTTCTTCTTTATTGTGTTCCATGTGTGATTTCTGATGGTAGAGAGCCACAGACTCGACCTTGCCGTGGCCTGGAAACGAGCTTAGGGTGCGGACCTACACTTGTTGTAGTAGTGCTTGGTTGTTGTATTCATTCATTCATTTATTCTCCCGTTTATACCCTCGATTATTCCCTTGTTTCCCCTTGCTTTTATTCATCTCTTTGCTTGTATTCTTTTTTTCCCCTCCCCCCTTTTTGCTTTTCAATTGTTTTCATTTATTATTTATTTGTCATTCACATTTGCATTATCTTCCTTTTCAATTAAATCTTACTCTTATATATTTTTTCGACCGATCTTATCTCGGTGCGCCCGATTCTTTTTTAAGTTTCGCTTCATGTAATCCGATTATACCGCGTCGATGTGCGCTATATAATTTGTGAATCTGGTCTCCTCGCTTAGTCCCGCGCAACAGATGGGGGTTGCAAGCGCTATCGCTCGGGCATCGTTTCCAAGGGAGTAGGTCCGTGTGATGACACAACAGCAGACTATCGGAAGGCCAATTAAGCACACTCACTACGGGCGCTGTCAGCAGTGGTTGCATAACGAGAGCATCTGAAGTGTCCTCTTGTATGGTGATCTGTGTGAGCTGGTGTGAAGTGACATTGTTGAGTAGGTGCGAAGCGAAGTGGGTGGTTGGAGTGAGTGTGAGCTGCGGGCTCCTTCTCGGCATTGCAATCAGTCGCATGACTGGACGAGGACGTGGTAGTAAGCTGGGTGGACGTCGTGGACGGTGGTCCAACGACGGGCGCTATTGGATGGAGAATAGCGTTGGAGGAAGTAATGAGCAAGTGAACCCCTCTGCATAGAATGTACCACCTCAGGTATACCCGCCTGGTGTCAACCAGCGTCAGTATTGTGCTTCATTCTAGCAACCTGTCGGGATGTCAGGAGTGACGCCTATGCAACAAGCGGTGGCAATTCCGCCTCCCACGCCGTTGCAATATCCAAGGGCACCACAAGGACCGCAACAGCCATTGGGTATACAACCATGGCAGTTTCGTGGGAAGTGGCCGCTGAATGGACAATGGGGAGTACCACCTACCACCCATATGCCACCACCTGCGAATCAGCCACCTGGCCATCAGGTGGCTCCACTTCAAGGCGGATCGAGCGGATTGAACAATGCATCAAGCAGTAATTCCAGGAAAGGTCCGACAGCCAATGAGTTTCCAGGCCCGGGCAATAAAGTTTATTTTACCAAGGAGTATGTGGATATCTTGGAAGATATAAGGATGAACAAGGCCGTTGAGGAGGCAAGAAAGAAGATCTCGTGCAGTCGGCGTAACAGCGTGCACATCGGGGAACCGCTGGATAAAGATAGTCGCTCCAATATGCGATCGGCTGATGAAGGGAAATCTGGTGATAAGAGTGACGAGATGAAAGCATGGGTCACAACCACTTTCGAAAGCTCACTCAAGCTGATCACAGAGAAGTTGCATGAGGTAGACCAGAAGGTGAAGCTCACCTCCGAAGACAAAGCTGAACTTGCGAGACTTCGGGAGGAGAAAGCAACCTTGGAGAAAGCAACCGTGAAGAAAGTAGCAGCGGAGAACGAGAGTAAGGAACTCTCGAGCAGTGAGAAGCGTAATCGAGGAGGTGAACGGACACTGATCGACATTTCGCCACGGATAATTTGGGTGAGATCGCGCGGGAGCAAGACGAAACCAAGAACGAAGCGGATTGATGTCTCATTTGACGAAGAAGACGGAAGCGTCGGAGCCGTCAAGCAGAATCTCAAGCCAAAGATGGAAACCAGCAGCGAACTGTCTGATATAAAGGCAATGCTGGCGGCTCTGTTGCAGAGTTTCGCCGATGTCAAGGGCAAGGCCCCTGTCATTGAGCATGCGCCGGTGACGGTACCAGAAGACGAGATGCACGGAGAAAAAGAAGACGTCGACATTGTCCAGAATGCTACAAACAAGGAGGAGGAAGAGGAATGCGATGAGGGTGGCCTAGCGGTGTATTTGAAGATGCGGCAAGAGTTCTATAGCTCACTACATTACACCCGAGTCCAGGAGTTGTGTAAGGAGAAGAGCATCCCGTACTTCAAGAAAGACTTGGGTGCGTGGGAACTAGCCAAGCATGATCTTCAGGAATATGCAGACATGCTAAAGGACGACAAGGCCGTTAAGGTGGCCGAATCATCAAGGAAGACCGAAGGGCGGAAAACGGAAAATCGCTGAGAAGCCGTCATCATCTGAGAATCCAATCAAGGGAAACTGATCGGTGGTAGCATCCTATCCAAGCGTCGCGCGAATCGCATTCTGAAACTAGAACTACATGTCAACAACTCACTATGGCCAATGCTAGAAAAGTTGCATGTGCTTATTATTCTTCTTTCGTGTCTAGTTGGAAAAATTGAGTGGGGACATGCTTATCTTCGGTTTTGGTTAAGAATGTCACTCGAGAAAAGGAAAAGGATATGTTGCTTGAGGGCAAAAACTATGTGTATATCCTTATGTCTGTGTCGCATAAAGCAGTCTATGTTGGAAAAACCACTTGCTTGTTGCGAGAGCGATGGGCGGAACACTACAGGGCAGCCAAAGGCATTAGCAGGAGAAAAGTGCATGTTTGGATGAGCAAGGTCGGCATTGGACACTATGTCCCGATACCAGTATGGTTCGGGGATGCAGCCACAATTGACGGCGTTGAGGGAGTGATTATCAAAGATTGTAACCCATGGCTAAATGCGATAGGGGGCGGGAGTCGTAAGTGGCGCAAGGCGAGGGGTAGGAAGGGTAAGAACATCGGGAAGCGGGAATGTTGTAAGCCTGCTCAACTTGTTGAACCATTGTTTTTTAATTGCTCAGAAGTCGGGGTAGTGAATGACCCAGACCTACTGAAGATCTTGAAAGCAGGAGGGAAGAGTCGGGGGATGAGGCGAGTTGCGATCTCCAATAAGCCTGGAGGAAGATGGTTGAAATCTTGGCGTCTGGTTGCCTTGTTGTTTGGGTTCTCTAAGGTTGAGTGCCAGGGTAACAAACTATTACTTAAAGATGCCAAGTCCGAAATTGAAAAAGGTGGTGAAATGATTGTTTACAGTTTGGTCCGAACGATCACCAAGACCGACTTGCTGAAGCATGACTTAATTGCTCTCCTTCGTGCCCCCTTGAAGCGTCGCAACCTGTACAAGAGGCAGTTAACTGATCTGATCGAATTAAATAATGGTGTTAAGACTGTAAACCAGCCTAGGGGACGGCAGACTATCAGAGGAATTCTTACCACAGTTTTTAAGAATAAATTTGGAGTAAACCCTTGCACAAAAATAACTATTAAAGTTACGTTTTGTACGACTATTGATAAAAGGAAGGTGGAGATGGAAGTTAAGAAGTGGATTCGGGATACTGCCTAACCACCCGAGCTAGGAGACTTGTTTGTTAGGAGAACCAGGGCAGTCTGGATGAAAGCCAGATCAGTTGTTGATCTGCTGCATAATCAGAAACCATTTGCGCAGAAGGCTTATTTTGAATGTGCGTGTGCTAATTTCGAACTGCCCAAGGTGAATGGGCATGTGGCAGTCAAACTTAGTGAGGTAGAAGGTATGCATCCGTTTCTCTTCAAACTCCAAAAATGTACCCTTTCTTGACTCCATAGCCTCCAGGGAAGGTCTTAATCGGGCCTGTAATGATGCTCTTGAGTGTCTCCGTGACATGTGGGTGGTTTCCAAGCAAATGCATTGCGACCTCTTGCGAGTTTCTAAATCCGGCGAGCGTATGACAGAAGGTTGTGTTCTGACGGAGTATGTAAAAGGGGTGAAGCAAGATTTCTCTGGGCTTGTGCTCTCTCCTCTCGACCGGAATATCAGCGAAATATGGATTGAATGCCCAGTCCTCTATCAGGCTGGACTACGGATGATGTTTTTGGAAAACTGCAACTATGATTTAGTATCAAGTACCAAGGACGAAGTTTTGTCCAACATGAGAGCAAAATATGATAAGGCTAGCCTCAACGATATAGGGAAATGGGACCGGAATGGCGATTTACAGCATGCATACATCCTCTCGAAAGAAAAGGATAGATGTAAGAAACGGCCCATTGTTCCCTCGTAGCAGAATCCATATAAGGCCGCTTCCGGTGTTCTGTCAATTGCCCTGAACGCATTAATCCAGCAAACTAGCGAGCCGCACTTTAACTTGCGAGCGATGGGAGGTCTGAATAAGGAAATATCAAGGATCAATGAGATGGATGAAGTCAGGGAAGGGAGGTACGGGATCCAAGCCCGCACCTATAATATAAAGGAGATGTTTGCTCAACTTCCGCATGAGGAAATCAGGAAAGCAACATTTTAGATCATCGGTTGTTTTGCTGCAAGGTCACTTAAATGGATCCGGGTGAATACCCGAAAGAAGGATGCTCATTTTCCTAAGTCACAAGAAGAAGCCGAGTGGAAGTCTGTGCGTCTGTCGAACCTGATCCCCTTGACTGATTTTCAGCTAGCAACTACGTTATTTCTGGTTTCGACAGAGTACTTCGGCAAAGAAAAGGCATCCCCATCGGTGGTCGAGCGAACCCTCCGCTCGCTTGCGTGTTATTTATGTACGCAGAAAACCAGTTTATCAAGAGCCTTAGCTTAGAGAGAGCACTGGTTATAGGAAAACGCTACATCGATGACTTACTGATCGTCTCGCTATTCCAGAAGGGTGACCCGGAAGGAAAGGAGGAAGGCCAAAAGAGACTGGACCAGGTAACAGGTTGTTACCCCGAGGGGTTGGTTTTGGAACGCACCGATGCTGGGATCGACATCTTGGATTTCCTGGAAACCAGGATCATCGTCTATGCAGAATGAACGATTTTGACGGCACATAAGTTCAAAGACGCGGACTCGATATGGAACGCCGAACCAATGCATTTTCAGACCTATAAGGAGTTTTCGTCATATGGACACAGAACATCGAATTTTGCCACTATTGCAAATACTATACAACGGATTGCGCAGAACTCCAACATCGAAGGTTTGACATGCTGTAACGTCCTCACCCTATGTGAAAAATTAAGGAAATGCAATTATCTCGGGAAGGTAGTTGTGGCCGGCCTGCAATGGATGCAGCGCCGTGAAAAAACACCCTTCTAGGAAGGGTTATTAGGGGTAGTAAGGTACATACTGATAGGGAAATAAGGTTGCTAGTAGGTGCGGACGCACCAACAGTATATTGGTCAGTAAGAATCTGATTCACTGGATGGTGTCATGCAGAGATTCTAGGCCCGGTGGGATACGCCGCCGTTACTATTATTTGTCTTTTGCATCTCAGTACGACTGCCATGCAGAGATTCTAGGCCCGATGCTAGGACCAGTAGTCTCAAGGGACATGAGAAAAAATATGGTTAGAGTAAAGCACGGTGAAGGCTCTATCGCACGCTTCTCGTACGAGGGTTTTCCTTTCATTTTTTCTTTTTCCTTTTAAATTCTACTATTTACAAATGGGGAATGGGGTAGAAAGTATTATATAAGCAAGGAAAAGTAGAGTACGAACTTACCTCAGTCTGAGTGGCGAATGAGTAGAAGGATTGAGAACCTCGACGGTGTGAAGTTGGGGTGATGCTGGGAGGATGTTGATTTCGCCATGATATTAAAACTCATGTCACCTTCTTCTTCTTTATTGTGTTACATGTGTTATTTCTGATTTCTGATTGATGAATACACATTGATGGTGACTCCTTGGCGACGAGCAGGAAAATGACATGGGAGGCTAAGTGAAGAAAAAACTAAAAAACTGTTGGACACTCTGAATAAGTTGGGAAGGAAAAAAATATTATACTATGAGATATTAAAGAAGGAAGCAGTAAGAAGAGCGGATGAGAGCATAATAGCTTGCATGTGCTAACCTGCCATTTTATTGAGGTGAATGAGTATGGCCTCATAATTTATGTGTCACGAGAAAGGTTAGATGGTTGTGAGTGTGACAATTGTTGGGGACGAGCAGTTAACATTGTGTTAGAAAAATAAAAAAACTTTAACAAAAAAATAAAAACTTCACTTGTTATACTAATGTCAAACCCTTTTTCAGAATACTTTCTCCTCCTGTGAAAAAAATTGATCTCCAAGAAATAAAGATAATTTGTCAACTGTGGTGAAGTTGGTATGAAAAGTGAAAAGGTCTAAGGGATGCTATAAGTAGCAAAAATATCTATTGTGACAGGCTGGTAGACTAAAAAAATTGAAGTTGAGATTTCCTTTGTGACTACGTAGCACCGTGTTCGCGTTCGGGGGCGAATGTGAACATGTTCATCCGAATGCGAACAAGCGTCAAAAACCCTCCGAACGCGAACATAAAAAATATTTAAAAAAACAAACAATTCTCAGAAAAATTTGAAAAACATATATGTTTTGTAAAATAATAATACAAGCAACTTTTGCCTCGGTGTCATGTTCAAATTCGTAACCGATCATGAATTAAACATCAAAAACTGAATATGAAAAACTTCTCCTCCAATTTTGCGTTGCCGAGCTTGGCGATCCGTTATTATCCCTTGAGAAGTTGAAAGTATAACGACACCCATGCCTCCCATCACTTAGAGTGGTCTAATAGCAAGTTTTTGTAGATAAATTCGGCTTTAAGCATTCTTCTAAATACTAAAAAAAAGTTATATCTTCATTTTTGTTTGTGAGATTTCTATGATGTAACCTACACGCCTATAAATTTTGAAGTCATTCTGCTGAGCCAAAAAAACATTAAAAATCGTCAAAGATGGGGGTGTCAAAACGTGCTCGCCCACTCGCTATTTTTTTTTTTTTTTTACTTTTAACTTTTTGTTTTCACTTTTTTTCGGGGCCTAAACAATTTGATTATTTTTTGAATTTTTTTTAATGAGTTATTGATTATCTAAGCTACATATCTGTAAATTTTCAGTGCATTTGTCAATGGCAAAAAATAATTAAAAATCGGCAAAGATGGCGGTGTCGAAAAGGTGCTGGCACACTCACTCGTTTTAATTATCTTTTTATTGTTTCTTATTTTTATCACAGTGTTTATTTTCTGTATTTGATTTTTAATTCAAATTTGGTAAAGAATTTGGATGTAGTGCCCAGGCAAATGTTGTTTAGTTTAGTTTTCTCTATAAAATATTTTTGTTTCTCGGAATGTTTTGGAATTTTTTTTTTTTTTTTTTTTTTTTTTTTTTGGTCCGTTCGATACGAACGACCGAACGCCTTCCGAAGGGGTCCCATACGTTCGGGCGTTCGGGTTCGGGCGTACGGCCTGTCCTGAACGCCGGCAACCCTGTATATAT